AACCCTGTCGTTACCAGATTTCATTGTGGCTTTCACCACATTCAAGAACATCTATTGTGAAAACAACGACAAACTCAGGCGCCAGTTGGACGCTCACGAAAGGACAGTCATAAATCTAGCACAACAATTCCCAGGAAAGAGCAACCACTACGATTACCATAAACTGTTTGCTTCTCGTGTGGCCTCCTATGCTGAGAAAGGCCAACCCATCAGGTGGGATATGCCTGAAAAAGGATTCTCACTAGGTGCTCTACAAGAACCTCCAAGTCTTGTCATATCTGCCATAGCGTGACACATGATAGTGACCATTGCCATGAGTTCAAACCACGGAGGTTCAACATACCAGTCTCCGACAGACCGCAAGGATATCGACAAGACAAGGCCGATATCAGGGGACGTCCCAAGGTCAGGTTCAACGGAAAAGAAATTTGCAACAATTTCAACGACCAGGGTTGCGCCAGAAGAAACTGTCTGTTTGAGCACGTCTGCCTAACATGCAAGGAGCCAAGCCACGGGAAAAACAATTGTAGTGACAAGAGAAAGAAGGTTTGACTGGATACCACCCCTAATGAATCCGCCATACCCATGGAAACAGTGCCCACATCATCTTCACTCACTCCTATTAACCACGCCCGTCTACAACTCGAACTGGCTCTTCATCCGGATATCCAGTTCACCAACTATTTGATCAATGGTCTAAGATACGGTTTCAACCCTTTAATTAATCCACTACCTACAACTTCCATAGAGTGCAACAACAATTACAGTGCTAGAAAAGACCAGGCTGCAGTGTCACTTCTCGTCAAATCGGAAGTTACAAAGGATTATGTTGCAGGTCCATTTTTGACAGTGCCATATGCCGTATACAGGGTGAGCCCCCTCGGGTTGGCCATTGGGAAATACAGCCAGAAGAAGAGACTGATTCTAGACCTATCAGCCCCCCACGACAAACCTGAAATACTAAGCATCAACGAACTCATCGACAAAGATCAGTGTTCTCTTTCTGATGTGACAATTGACCACGCTATCGCTATCATCTCAAATCAAGGGCGTGGCGCCAAACTATGTAAACTTGACATTTCGGACGCTTTCAAACAGGTCCCGATAGCAAATGCATTTATACCTTTCTTTGGTTTCAAGTGGCAACAGCAGTACTACTTTTACAAACGGCTGGCCTTTGGATGTCGTTCAAGCCCAAAATTGTTTGACACTCTGTCAGAAGCTTTATGCTGGATACTGCATCATACATTCTCCATCTCCTGGATGATTTCCTCACTATAGACTCCCCTGAAGCCGATGCCCAACAAACCATGACGAACCTGCGTAAACTGTTCCAAGAGATATGACAACCTTGGAATACCTGGGCATTAATCTGGATACCAACACCATGACAGCTAGCCTACCACAAGATAAGCTGGACAGGATATCAGCCTTACTTCACGAGTTCTCCCAGAAGAGAAAATGTACAAAGAGAGAACTCTTATCTTTATTGGGACACTTAAGCTATGCCTGTAAGGTCATCATTCCCGGCAGATCTTTCTTTTCTCATCTGTTGGATATGGCCAAATCAGTGAAGAAACTGCATTACCAGATACATTTGTCTACAGAGTGCCAACAAGATCTACACATGTGGCATATCTTTCTACAACAGTGGAATGGCGTGTCCCTATTCCATGATGCTTACGCTACCTCCAATCAGGACATGGACTCGTTTACCGATGCCTCTACTTCGTTCGGATTCGGCGGATACTTTCAAGGAGCGTGGTTCTCAGAGAAGTGGCCAGACAACCTACTCACAGAATTAAGCGTTGAACATTCTCTCGCCTTCCTCGAACTGTATCCTATCGTAATAGCATCTGTACTTTGGGGACATAGTTGGACTCGGTTAAGAGTATTATTCCATTGCGACAACCAAGCCACCGTACACATCATTCGCAAAGGGAGATCTAAATGCCGAAAAGTCATGTCTCTTATGCGTACCCTAACATGGACGGCAGCTAAAGGCAATTTCATAGTATTAGCTAAGCACATCCCTGGGGCGCACAATACTTTAGATGATGCTCTTTCTCATTCACAGCTGGACCTGTTCCGCTCCCTAGCCCCGGCAGCCCAGATCGAACCCATACAGTGCCCTCCAGCCTCTCAAATCATGTGGAATTGACAAGGCACCTGGACACATTATGGTCAGCAGCCCTCACCCCGCGGACAAAGGATACATATGCTACCGGTGTTCAGTGCTACACCAACTTCATGATTAGTGTGAATTTGCTCTCTAGGACATGTCCAGGACTCCCACCGCTACACGAAAGCTACATTCAGTTTTTCCTCGCCCACTGCTTCGGCAAGCTCAAGCTATCCTAAAGTACGGTTAAAACTTACCTTGCGGGCATCAGATATACTTACTTACAAGCAGGAATACCAACACTCTTCGACTCTGCCAACTCGGGCGCCAACGCACGTATTCAAACTCTTCTGCGTGGATACAAGAAACTACAAGCCCCACCAAAAAGCAAGAGACTACCCATCACTTACAATATTCTGTGTCAAATTATCACTCTGCTGAAGAACAGCGTTCTGGGTCCTTTTAATGACTTTATCATGATTACTATGTGTACCGTTGCCTTCTTCCGCTTCCTCAGGTGTGGCGAGTTCACCTGTTCAGACAGTTTTGATGCAGATGTCAATTTATGTGTCCAAGATGTCATCTGCGATTATAACAGAAACAGATGTATCCTCACATTGAAAACTTCAAAAACTGACCCTTTCCGACTAGGAGTGGCCATCTCCCTGTTTGCCACAAACAAGCCAGCTTGCCCGGTTCGAAGCCTCTCACAACTGATCCTCATAAGACCCAAGTGCGGGGCTCAGGCCCACGATCCCCTCTTCGTGGACAGCTGTTTCCATGCTATTACGAGGACTACATTTCTAAGATGGCTCAACATTATCATGTGTCGGATAGGCTTGAGCTCCAAATCTTATTCAGGACATTCATTCAGGATCGGCACAGCTACCACGGCTGCTCAAGTGAGAATGGAGGACCATCTCATCAAAACCCTGGGAAGGTGGAGTTCAGATTGCTTCACCAGGAACATTCGAACCCCGGAAGATACCTTGAGACAAGCACAGATCTCCTTGTGTAACGTATAATGTTTAACCAACAGAGTGCAATCTGCATAGTAACTTACCCCATCTTATGCAACGTTCAGGCTCGTGACTCCAGTGCAGTGTGACTTGTGATATTTATGATGCAATCTGTGACTCCGTGGTACGCAACTCAATCATATTGTATCCCGTACAATGTGACACAAACTGTACTCTTGTGTAATAGTGGTGCTGGAGGAACTACAGACCCAGATAGTAGCCATGCCGTGCACGTGACTACTGCCACATACTGTGCCGTGTCCAAATGTGCATTCCGACTTTGACACTTGGTTTTAACTGTGATTGATGCTATCACGGAACTTCGCATGGAGCCAGTGACTGTGGTTACAATGTACTCAGTGTGAAGACTCCTGTCCTGGTTCACATGTACTGCCTTATTTAGGTCAAGGATGCCATACCATTGTCATTTAGTAGCCGCAACGGCGTTTAGTTCAAGCATGCTTAGGTTGCATCACTGCCACTAAATGTTGGTAACTTTCACATTTTTAAGTTTTTCTCCTTACATCTTACATATATATCCCTACTATTCATTGGGGGCTCTCGGTTGCCAACCTCCTTTGGGCCTTCAGCTCATTCAGTGCTTTTAAGCGCCAGTACGGAAGCACGGAATGAGCTGACTAGCCCCCAATTCATACGGCGGCAGGACACTATCTACATGGGCTTCCTGATCTTACACCAGGAACCGTCCATAGGTATGTCCGGGTCCACGACCCCAGGGCAACTAATCCCACCATTAGGTCCTCGCCGTCCTAACCACGGGTCCACGACCTACAGGTTACTTCCCTTGCCTTCTAACCGTGGGTCCACGACCTACAGGTTATCCTTCACCTCTAACATACCCAGGGTTGGCGACCCTCCGGCAACCGAAGTAGCCCCCTCAATTCTCCAAAGATGTTGTAAATAAACATATTTTTACCTACATCATGTTTTGTTGTTTCTGAACAAAATGGTAATTTATTATTTTAGTTTGTGCAGGGACAAAGAAGTTTACGCTAGTCATATCGACAGGTTTCACTACCTACGTAGTCATATGCGTACTTCTACATCCAGTCTACTATACCCTGTTATTTTCTCACCATAATTACACTCTTCACTAGCAAGTACATGCTTATGTCTTACATTTACCTACCGTCACTTCTTATATTTTATTTTCACGTCACATCATTAGCCATGCTTTTCTGTTATGTATAAGGTTACCAGCTTCATATCCCACAATGCATCAATTTCTCAGCCACGCATGCTCAGTAAAGTTTCCGGTGACGTCATGCCTCGAGGCTATTTAACCCCAAAGATCTCGCTTTGTCTTTCTTGTAAATTCTATTGTCACGGCGTAATTCTCTCAAAATCTCTCCCACCATCCTCCCCTGCTTGCCGCCTCGTAGGGGGGGCTTCTTCGGTTGCCCCTTTCAGCTCCTTCCATAGGCTAGGCCTTCAGCTCATTCAGTGCTTTTAAGCGCCAGTACGGAAGCACGGAATGAGCTGACTAGCCCCCAATTCATACGGCGGCAGGACACTATCTACATGGGCTTCCTGATCTTACACCAGGAACCGTCCATAGGGATGTCCAGGTCCACGACCCCAGGGCAACTAATCCCACCATTAGGTCCTCGCCGTCCTAACCACGGGTCCACGACCTACAGGTTACTTCCCTTGCCTTCTAACCGCGGGTCCACGACCTACAGGTTATCCTTCACCTCTAACATACCCAGGGTTGGCGACCCTCCGGCAACCGAAGTAGCCCCCTCAATTCTCCAAAGATGTTGCAAATAAACATATTTTTACCTACATCATGTTTTGTTGTTTCTGCACAAATGTAAATTATTCTTGCATTTACTTACCTAGTTTGTCTTGGAGCTGTATCTGTGACGGGTTCAACTGGAAGCGTTTGGATTCCCTCCGAACTTTCACATATTCATCCTCTAAGTTGTCTCCATCAATAGAAATCTGTATATCTCGAGCAGCTCCAAAATCCAGAGTATCTAAAATGAGACAATTAACATCATGAAAGTAAAACCATTTTGATTCTATACATGTATACATCTACAGATCCATATAAAAGGGGCATACCCCAAATTGTTAGACAGTGGAGTAGAGATGGCCTGTCAAAACATATAAGATTTACCTGTTGTGGTAATTGACTAGTCTATAACGACTAAATCCCCGGGTATAATTAAGATCAAATAAATAAATAACGTGTGGTGTTAAAGGGTTAAAAAAAATGGCCTTCTCAGATACAATATGATAATATGTTTTTTTCAAGTTTATACCCGTTTGATACCATTTGATCATGAAAGCAATATAATGAGAATATCATAAGTTGTAGAAGAACTCATGGGGTACATGTGGTTTTATGCATTCCCATGATCCGGAGGCAAGTGGAACAAAACCTAATGAAAGACGCCTAAAACAACATGTACCCTGAGCTACACTGCTACAACAAAATTTATCTTACCAACATATTATATTTTGCCATTGTAAAAGAACTAAAACAAATTCAAAATTGATAGAAACAGCTGTTCGTTTTAGCTGAGGTGAACTTGTGTTATGTCACATGACTTTTATTGACTGGCTTCAAAGTGGGGTTTATTGACCTTTTTCAAACGTCGCTACTTCTGGTTTGAAAGCGAGGCTCTGAAAGCAGAAGGTGAAGGCTGGATAGCACATGATACACATGGAGATGTCAACAAGGCACACAATCGCGACAAACTGTGACAATTTAACCATTTCGGTACTATCACGGCAACATTTATCGTAAGTATTGAACATTATTCTTATTCTTATCATTAACAAAATATTCTGAAGCATAATATCACAAGTCGTGCTGAACTGGTTACATACAGATTCCTGAGAAATGGCGGAGCTCTCAACCGTAGGAACAACTTAGACAGCATCAAAATAGAAGAGGCACACAAGAAAGCCATGATATCAGTGTCGGAAGTTGTCAACAGCAAGAAACCGAAAGAGAAGACTACAGGAGAAAAGTGCAAGCGTGTCAATCGAACCTAATTGGTAGGCCTTTCGTACAGCTGAGTCGACATCAATCTGTTGTACACGATTAATGATTGGAAATGTCCCATGTGACAAAATATCTTGGTAGGGCTTGTAGTTTTCAATTTTTTTCTTTAGCTTGGTACTCCTGTGGTCTTGGTTTGGGTGTGCAGTATCCTGAAGACTATCGGTATACACCTTCAGTAGATCTTCTTCTCTTTCAGTATCTTGCTGTTGATAACTTCCGACTGTTGAGAGCTCCGCCATTTCTCAGGAATCTGTATGTAACCAGTTCGGCACGACTTGTGATATTTTGCTTCACAGGCAAATAGGTCCTTCCTTCTGATCCGCAGCAGGAGAGGCTCATCGTTTTGACGTTGAGCTACTTCGATGACATGCTGGCATCCATCCCGACTGAAGTTTGTGAGGCCTTCTGTTGTCCAGCTTCCTTTCGACTTGAATTTCTTTCATGAATACGAAGTACAAAAGATGCAGTCAGGTTGGAAGATGGGCTCATAGGATGGACACCGAATTGGGTGGCCAGCTAGTTCCAAAGAATCAATTTCAGGTTGTTTCAAACGGTCAAGGTTCATTGTAAAACGCTGATAACATTCTCTGTGATAGCCATGGGTTTCTTTCAGAACTGCCAGCAGGCTTGTACATGACACTTCCATTTGATTTGGCATTTCTAGAGGTTCTGCCATCCTTCTAAGCTTGATCTCTCCTTCAGCTTTTCCATCTTCTCATCAGGATCTTTGGCTTTGCTCAGATGTTGTAGTGGGCCAGACTTCAAGCCAGGTACATGTATGATGCACACTGGCTCTGGATCACTCGGGATACGTTTCCGTTTAGGTTGACATGTCAAAGCTGTCTTCGAGTTCCCGGTTGTATAAGATGTTGGTCTCAGTCACAACAGTTCAACCTCAAAAGACACATAATCACGGGTTGACATTGTTACACGGTGGGACATTTCCATATATACTAACTTGGGTATTCTGTAAGAGAATCTTAAGTATTTAATTGGAATATCATTTATTTCTGTGAATGCATGGTCCCTGTTCATTTCAAGCCATTCATATACGATTTGGACAATTCGCATTTGGACATTTTCTGTAAATTGGAAACTTAAGTAGGTAAGTTATGTATGAATTAAATGTTAGTAAGTGAATTCGTCTTTTACCCTCGGTGCTGCCCCCTGCAAATTCACCTTAACTAGTAGCTGTACTAAAGAATCTGAAACTCAACTTGAAATGGCAATTTTTTTCAAAATATCAAGCCTGCGTCCAAGAAATTGATTTGTATATTTGCTGAAATAAATAACATTTACATTATGATCAGTTTTTTTGCATCTTGAATATGTTTCACATAGGTACATTTCATTCAAAGTTCTAAAATCGACTCGAGCATTATACTGTGAACCTCTTATATGCATACAAAAGTGAGTGATATCAGAGTTGTCAAGAAGTATTCTGTATGATTGTCCACAAGTAGATCAATAATCAGCCTACATCAAATTATGGTGTTTATATATGGTTTCCTATGGTATATAACACATCGAGGTCGGTGAATAACACACAAGATGACAAGCCAAATCCTGAGCATACATCCAAGCGTTGTTCCGATGTAGCTAAGCCGAGAATGAAAGATTGGGTATCCTACTCTGATATTATAAGAGTAAATTTGTTCCAAATTGTGCAAAAGATTTTCACCTTGTAACATCACATGTTAAGAAGTACTTCAAGAGATGTACTGGAACATGTGTTAGAAGATTATAGTGGAATAGCACAAATACATAGAACATATACCGGATTAAAGGTTTCTGTGAGAAGAATTTGGTTTTGTCGGGATATATGACGTTCGATTTGCCATGGGTTGGTCCATATTTACACAATACCAATTATTGATACCTCATTGAAGAGGTACTTATAAATGGCTTCCAGTGGTATATCACACTTGAAGATCAGTGGATCACTAGTGAGATGACAACCCAAAACGTAATCATACCCCCAAGTGATATACGGCAAAACCGGGCAAACGCGATATAGGGTACCATACTTTGAAAGGCTGTAAGAACAAGTTCATCACAACTTTTTTCTTAACATTCAAAATCATGTTTAGTATGTTTATGGGCTTTAAAAAAAATTAGTGGGGTTTGGATGGGTGGGGGGGGGGCTGCTCGTGGGTCATACCTAGCCCACGGCCTATTGTAAAATTTAACATTACCTTGTCTGGAAAAATGAAATTTGATGATAAAAAAACAAAGCAGATGACAATCGCCCAAACGAATTACGGCAACAGCCATGGTAACCTGATACACGTGAGTTCCATGCAGATTGAAATGCACATACGTTCCCATTTCTTGCCCTATAAAAATCCTCAAAGATTGTATAACATTCATTCATTATGAATTGCTACCACATGCCAAGATTGACAAGAAATCAGCGACACCAAGCCCTTGGACGATTGCAAGCTGGACAAACCGCCCGACAAGTAGCCAATGCATTTTAAGTCCACGTAAGGACCATATACAGACTCCAGCAACAGTACCAGACCACCAACACTACAGATGACCGCCCATGTAGTGGAAGACCAAGGGTCACCACCACCTGACGTCAGGATCCTCAGATTGTGCGACAGCATCTTCAAGATCGCTATATTACTGCTGCAGAAACTGCTTGACAGACCATTAGGACACACCAGCTACACATAAGTGCAGACACCCTGCGTCAACGATTGACAAGCAAACACCTCCACTGTCGCAGGCCACACCGAGGACCCATTCTGACACCACGTCATCGCCAGAACCATCTTCAGTGGGCAACAGCATTGGCGCCACCAGCAGTGGAGAAGAGTCCTCTTCTCAGAGCACCTGTGGGACAAGATTCAAAGACGGCTGAATGACATCCGACCAGGGCTGACAACTGCAGCTGAACTGCGTCAGGTGTTCCTCAGAGTGTTGGCTCAAGTGCCTATGGCCTTCATCAACCACCTCATCCATTTCATGTATCGACGTTGCACGATAGTCATCAATGCACATAGCGGACACAAGAGATACTGACTTGTGATACCATTTTCCCAGAAACTAGTGTTGTGTTTCACTTTAAGAACATTTGACACTTTAATTTCAACCTTGATGATCAGTTTTGCCAAGATTCATCTTTTTAATATGTCTCAAAGTATGCATACAGTGTTTGGACAAATAAGGTTTCTCATATATCTGTCCAGGGTGATGTTTTTTTTGCAGTTCAGTATAGATAGATGTCAGAAACTAACTATTATGTTGATATAATTTATCTTATTGTAAACTATTAAGAATTTACAATCATAAACAAATCAGAATTTTGCATCAGTTTTGTATTTGATGTAAATTATAAGTGACTCAAATACATTCCAATAAAATATTCATAGATAGAATAACAGTAAATCTCTCATTGTCAAATTTAGAGACTATGGTACGAAAGAGTCTATCCTTAGAAATGCTAAACGACTCAAAGGTACTTCATACAGTATTTTGGAAGATTATTCATTAAACGTTAGAAATAAGCATAAAATGTTAAAAACAATAATGGATGATTCAAAGGCACTTGGTGAGAAATGCAAGCTTAGATTTGATAAACTGATTTATGAAAATGGAAAGGTTCTCATACATGACCTTGAAAATGAAAGGCCAGTTGAGATTAATAGAACGGTATTCAGCGCAGGTCGCGGCCGCGGCCATTCTGCGTTTCGTTCACATGGAGGTCATGGTTGGGGCGGACCCGCACGTGGCACTTACAGCTCGGATCTTGGCCAGGCCGTGGATTGTAACGGTAAAAGAAGAGACTTTTCGTTTATGTCATGGAACGTTAACGGTTTGAATTAAAGGAGATTTAAATGTAAGAACTGGTATTTTGCAAGATTTTATTACATCTGACGATGATGAGAGTGAAAAATATATCTCAACGTTAAATGAAATGGAGTATTCAGGTGATACATTCAATACTCCGAGGTT